GGCTGTGAGGGGGGCAGCCCTTCGCCTCCATCGCCTCCCCAGTGCCCGCCGGTGCAGACACACACTGACAGAACCGTCTTGCTAACTAATGCCGCGTTATTTCTGCCTTCTCCTGCTCCTTTGTACAGCTCGTGTTCTGTTTATTGGTGAGATTTTAATTTCTACAGCAAACGAGTGCAACAGGTTTTTCTTTCTTTTTTTTTTTTTTTTTTGTCTTTGATTTCTGTGTCTTGGAGCCTTAGCTAAAATATGGTAAGATTTGGTGTCTGCGCTGAAATTCTGCAGGATGTGCTTTATTTAAAGGCTGTAGTTGTTTCATGGAACTCTCTTGTATGTGATTTTCTCTTCTTTATTTATTTCAGGCCCCTCCAAGGCATTCCTTGCTCACAATGTATAGAACAAAAGTCAGTTTGAAAGACCGTCAGCAACTTTATAAACTGATAATTAGTCAGCTGCTCTATGATGGATACATAAATATTGCCAATGGCTTGATAAATGAGATAAAACCACAATCAGTCTGTGCACCATCCGAACAACTGCTGCACCTAATTAAGTTAGGTAAGCTGGAATAAAAAGCTAACATAAAAGTCCAGTTCCTAAATCCCTAGCTTAAATCCTTGTGAATTAAGACGTTAGTGTTACTGAAAAGACATCTTTTATGCAAAGCATAACATTTATAGATGTTTAGATACAGCCTTTGCCTCCGTGGCTTTTTTTGAAGGACATTCTAGTTCTACGTTTCATTCTTTAATATGTGTCAAAAGCAAACCAGATCGCCAAGCGTTGTCAAAACCTGTTTGTTTAAACTTCTTTAAGATGTAAGAATACCTGCCCAGGGTCCTGAGTGACTGGCAACCTTCTAAAAATACACCCCAGTAAACGGGATCACCGAGTCCGCAGACCTAATAGAAAATTGACCCGCACAGTTCTCTGCCAACTTCAGAAATATTTTCTATAAGACTTCTGACAGTGTTGGAAAGGGAGCAAGCCCTTCCAGTGGCAATCGTTACCAGCCTTTATATATCAGCTACAAGAAAATAAGCTTCACGGTCTAGGGTCTCAGCAAAGGTATTGCCTGTTCTCTCTCTGTGTATCTTTCTGGAAGTGCGTCTGTGCCGCAGTGCGTAGTCAAAATACCTGAGCTGCTGTTGAAACAAGCTGACGAAGTTACTGGAAGAGGTCTAGCCATAACATCATGTCTTCTCTGTATTGTAACAGAACTGGTTCTGCTGCCTGAACTAGTTGAGTTCCAAGAGTATAAATATGTGAAGCCTTGTGTCTGTTTGAAATAATAACGCTAGACTTGCAATTTGTAGATGAAAGCAAGAAAAACTTTTCTGTTGCATTTGATGAATTTATGATCACAGTTGGGCACATGGCTGAAAATTCTTGTGTCTGCCCTGTTACCACTTCTAGTGCTGAGCTGTCTTTGTTCTGTAGGTGCGTCCTGGAAGTAAAACAAAATAACAACAACAAAAAAAATCTGTAGAATGGGTGTGAAGAGGAGTCACAATTTTCATTTGCAATGCTGGGATAGTTGTTTGTAGAATAGGGTTTTTTCATTCAGTGCAATAAAGCAGAAAGGAAAAGAATCGGTAAATGTTTCAGTTCTTTATTTTCAATCTCATATAATAGTGTTAGGGCTCGTTTCTCCCTGTGGAAAGCTGACTAGAGGCCTGTCAATGGCTTAAGTAACTGATTGTCAGTGCATTTGTCAGTCCTTACCATTTACAGTATTTGCTGGTTGTATTTCCACAGTTAATTTTAAGAGCTGTCCCTCACTGTAGCGAAGCCGGAGTACCTCTCATTTCTCACGAGAAGTACTGCTGTATCCCTAAACATGCTCTGCTAGCTTAGCTTTGTCAAACGGGCTGTGGCTGTAAACCCTGCCTCGTAGCTGTTACAGAGGTCTATAGACCACCGACTGTCTGCCCGAGGAGGAGGGTAACCTGGTTTAAGTGCATCGACTTCTCTTTTTTTCAGGAATGGAGAACGATGACAGTGCTGTTCAATATGCAATTGGAAGGTCAGATACGGTAGCTCCAGGCACGGGAATTGACTTGGAATTTGATGCAGATGTACAGACCATGTCTCCTGAGGCTTCTGAATATGAGACTTGTTATGTCACATCTCATAAAGGACCATGTCGCGTAGCTACGTATAGCAGAGACGGACAGTTAATAGCTACAGGATCTGCTGATGCCTCAATAAAAATTCTTGATACAGAGAGAATGTTGGCCAAAAGTGCTATGCCTATCGAGGTAAAATATGACTTGAATCGTAACCACTTTGTGAGTTCTTGAGATGCTGTCTGTTCATGCCGTGTCCGTGCCTCGTGACTGGCTCAGTGGGTCGGACTAAGTATCTGTCTCACCATGTTTCCTACTCCAACAGCGGCTCATAAAGTACCCTTGAAGAAAAGGAAGAAGAAATAGGGCAAGTATACCTGGGTAACTTCTGGCAGCAGTCTAGAGAATTCAGCCAGAAATTCCTTCTGATAGTTGCTGATAATTGCTGTATTGTCTGAACACAGTTCATTTTTGAACCCACTTACACTTTTCGGCTCTACAGCCTCCAGTGTCTGTGTGTTTCAGAACAGTTTCACAGAATACGTATTTATCTGCTTCAGTTTTTCTCCAATGCAGTTATCAGGTAGCAGTTTAAAAGTGGATTGTTTCGGTTTTTGCACAGAGTGCACACCAAGTTCTCAGCAGTATCCTGCGTGAGTAACAGTTGCAGTTTTCCCGGTTGGGACAGCTTGCAGCGATACAGTATTTTGATTTGGACTGTTTATGACAGTGATGTGTTTTCTTGCATCAGTTCTCTGCTCCTGAAACTAGGTTGTCGTTGAGCAAGTCAGCTGACCTTTGTAAAGATACTGGGATTTTATCTGATAATAATATATAAGGGGCCTTGAAATGATTAAGGTAATAGTGATTGTGTGCCTGGTTACAGGTCAGAAAGGTAGCTGTTGTTTCCCACTTGGGCAAGTATAAAACCTACCTTTCCTGTTAAAAGCATGTTCTGCTTGCTAACACTCTAACTTGTTGAATGTTCTTTTTAGGTCATGATGAATGAGACAGCACAGCAAAACATGGAAAATCACCCCGTTATTCGAACTCTGTATGATCATGTGGATGAAGTTACGTGTTTAGCTTTTCATCCAACAGAACAGATTCTAGCATCTGGTTCAAGGGACTACACACTTAAATTGTTTGATTATTCAAAACCTTCTGCCAAAAGAGCCTTCAAATACATACAGGTTAGATACAATACCAGTTCAGAGCAACCAAAGCTTGAATGTATAAGTACCGAGGTATCGGTGAGCTGAATTGTGTCTGAGTTTCTACGTGGTTAGGTGTGTAGGAGTATGGAGCGACAAAATTTACAGGCATTACAGTAATTACATGTTACAAGTTTGTGCATAATGTGCACTTTAAATCCAGTGCCTGTCTGCTTTTTGTTAATCTAGACCAAATCTAATATGGGTAACTTTGAAGTCAGTTATATTCTCTTTGTTTTGGAGGAGAATTTGGGATTGTGTGGTGGTGGGCTTTGGGGATTGTGACTGGCTGACAAAGCCTCTTGTCACGTCTGTGCGATACCCTGTGAGCAGACACTGCACGCTGCTCCAGGACAAACACGACGATGCCTTCAAAGGTGGCCTGTCATTTGAAGCATTTTCTATTTTGCAAAACAAGAACACACTGTGCTAACTGATAATTTAACTAGTTTTCTAGCACTTTAATGCCACCAGAATTGACACTTCCATTTCAGATTTTTTTTCTTTCTTACACCAATTATGTATTTTTGATCAAACAGGAAGCAGAGATGTTGCGCTCAATTTCTTTTCACCCTTCTGGAGATTTCATACTTGTTGGTACCCAGCACCCTACCTTACGACTGTATGATATCAATACTTTCCAATGTTTTGTGTCTTGCAATCCTCAAGATCAGCACACTGACGCTATATGTTCAGTAAATTACAACGCAAGTGCGAACATGTACGTGACAGGAAGTAAGGATGGATGCATCAAACTGTGGGATGGTGTTTCAAATCGCTGTATCACTACTTTTGAGAAGGCGCATGATGGAGCTGAAGTCTGTTCTGCTATTTTTTCCAAAAATTCAAAGTATATCTTGTCAAGTGGAAAAGACTCTGTAGCTAAACTCTGGGAGATATCCACTGGTCGAACACTGGTCAAATACACAGGTACGTGGCAGGTGACCCCCAGGTACCATCCTTTTCAGGTACAACCCACGGCACGGGTGGTGATGCTGTCAGAACAGAAATTCTTAAAGGCAATGGGAGATGGCTGCTTGGAGGAAAAATTGCCCCCAATTTTTGAAAACGCTTGACGTAGACTAACTACGGGAGAGAAGCTGTGATTCTTGTATGTCAGTCGGTGTAAACGTGTTTAGTCTGAGTGGATTTTAGAGACTTTTCTGACATCGTTACTCCATTGCTTTGGAGGGACGTTACCACTAAATTAGGGAAAAGTAAAAAGGAACACTGCCCTAAGGACTAGGATATGCAGAGGGTTTTGTTCTCTAGGTTTTTTTGGTGTGTTTTAGAAACAGTGACTATTAAGACAGCATCATCGCTCTTCTTGCTGGTGATCATTTAGATTTTGTGACTTTTCTATTTATTGCTAGACTAGGGGCACAGTTTAAACAGGAAGGGACAAAACTAATGCCTAATCCATCTGTAGCTAGAGGGGGCTGCTTTCCTGCAGGGTACCCACCCAGACAGGGAATTGAACCTGCTTTGGGGCAGTTGTTTTAACCATTAGACCCAAAAGATGGCTTTACTAAGCCATGGCAATATTCTGAAAAATAGCTACAGCTTTTTTTCTTTTTTTTTTTTTTTTGAAGGATGCAATTGTGTGCAAGGTAGTCGTGCTCAGAGCGTGTGCTGACAATACCATGCTTTGATCTCAGCAGGACTTAAAGAATGGTTAAGGATGTGGAAGCTTTCAATATGATAGCAGCTGTGAAGTGCTTGGGTCAAGCAGGAACATGCTTAAGCATTAGGAGTCATAGCATAAAAGAGGAGCGAATGTTGACAATTGTGTGTGTCAGCTTTTAGGATGTGTACGGTCCTTTTTTGTATGCTGGCTCTATTTTGCTCTCAACCAGCAGGGTGCAGCACCTCCTTGATAAAACTTCAGCAAAATAAGTATCAGATAGGATGCAGGTGTGTGCATGGCATGGTAAATGCCTCTGCAGGAAACACACATTTTATTTGAAGGGTATGGAGGGACTGTATGGCCAAGGTAGGTCATGCAATGTGCTGGATGATATATGCATTAAAACCAAAAGTTGGCATTAGTAATGAGAATCTGTGTATTCTGTGGTCTTTCCCCTTAGTTACGGCCGTAAGCCTCATACAAAAAATATAAGGCCAAAAGTGCTCTCAGAGTTAAGAGATTGTGCTTATACTGAGTGGTTGGGCTCCACTGACACAGTTGGACTAGTTAATCTTCCTGTCTTCTAAGAATTTTTTGCATATACCACGTATATATCTACAAAAGAATATTCATTATTGATTCACGTGTTGTATTTGGGAGTGGTAGGCTAACTGGGAAAATAAGGCTCCTTTGTAGACTGCAGAAATTGATACTTCTGGGAGGTTTATTCTCGGGTATCTGAAATCTTTGTAAAACTGATCCTATTAATGTTTTGCTGCATATATTTAGGAGCTGGTTTGAGTGGACGACAAGTACACAGGACACAAGCTGTCTTCAACCACACAGAAGACTATGTGCTGCTTCCTGATGAAAGGACCATAAGTCTCTGCTGCTGGGATTCCAGAACTGCTGAACGGAGAAATCTTCTTTCTCTTGGGCACAACAGCATTGTCCGTTGTATCGTCCATTCTCCCACCAATCCTGGCTTCATGACCTGCAGCGACGACTACAGGGCTCGATTTTGGTACAGGAGGTCGACGACGGACTAAGGACAGCTTTATGAAACAGTGATTATCCAGATTAATTATATCATCTTGTATCGATTGTACTGCCAACAGATGCCTAGATGAAAGCCGTGCTGTGTCTGGTTTTTAATTCTGTCAAATGTGGCAGAAAGATATCAAAATACTGAGACTAAGTTTTGCCCCATGCTAATTTTTTTTATTAGTGTGTGTGGCATTAATTTTTGTAAGTCATCTCTAATTGTACTCAAGGGGTGGGGGTGGGGGGAGAATAAAAGGATCCTTGCAGGAAGGATTAAACTTGTTCTCCTGTCTTTGTAAATCCCATGAAAGATAATGTGACTGCATCTTGCTCAAACTGGGCAGTGTGAGCCAGTTTTGCTCCGCATTGTATCTCTGCAATCCCACTGAAGTCTGTTTAAAGAATGGATTACACAAGTGACTGCAGAACTTGGCAAATATTTTAATGAAGCCTTAAACTGCCTTCAGTTCTGATTCATTCTTTGTAAAGCTCTGGTTTGTATCTTTTAGTCTAGGGGGGAGCTTGGTGGATTTTTTTTTTTATGGATTTTTTTTAATTGGCCAAGTGGACCTTCAATTCTGAGCCAGTCTTGTGCCATAAGAATTTGAAACAGGATTTTAAATTGTTTAGATGAATTCAAGAAATGGTGTTCTAGTTCTGGTATTAAAGCTCAGACTTGAAATCTTGTCGTCTTTTGAATTAACAAGTGGGATCTCAAAGTAAATTCATACTATTTTCAAGGAATATCCACACTGCAACTGTAAAATGTGACAGTGCTGCAACATGTGAAAATGAGAAAACTTTGCCAGAGACCTTTTAGTGTCCTCTCAACGAAAGAAAGTGTGCGTATTAATTTTTGTGTATGTACCTCAGAATTGTCACTGCTTGATTTTATTGAGAAATTCTCATTCTGTATCTGTTACACAGCACTTGAATTACATTCTTTCTTTTTTTTTTAATTATTCAAAACCCCAGGCTCACTGTTTCTTCTCCCCATTCTCTCTAGTAGTCCAAGTTTCCCAGACCTCATCCTATTCAACAGGATGCTGAAATCTCCTGTAAGTTTGAAAACTCACTACTTACTCTTACAGATAGCTGCCTGCACAAAGTTTTAAATGTCGGCTCATTCAAGCATCCTGTACAGTGCTTGTGGGCTCCTGTGTGGGAGGCTGCCTTCAGTCAAAAGCTCCGCACTTGCTTTCAGGAGGATTTTTTTTTTTTTTAAATGTGAGGTTCTCACTGCTGGATTAATTTTCCATTGCCACTGATGAAGTGTCTTGTCAAGGGCTGATGAGGGTACAGGTTTTGTCTGTATTTAAATAAAGATTACCTTTTAAAAACTTATTTAATATATAAAGAAGGAAATGTATTAGTTTTCCTTTCTATATAACAAAGGAGAAATGAATATTGGAAGGCTGGGTCTTTGGGGGCATGTTAAAGCTGGATGAATTTGCTTGTCATGTTACATCTGAGTCGGATACAACTATAGATTTACTGTATAGAATGGGGGGCATTTTTTTAAGAGAGGATGAAATTTAGTTTTCTCTTAATAGCTACTGCTATGCAAAACGTTTCTTACGCTTAGCAATCCTCTGCCTCCCTTTGAGTCTCTAAAACTTGAGAAACATGGGAGGCATGAGATAGCAGTTCTGGTGGCTTTTTTGCTGGAGAAACACAGGGAAGCGGAGCTTGGTGGGAGGGAGAAGGGAAGTCCTGCCGCAGAGCTATCAGTGCGCGCTGTGCTCTCGCTGCCAGGCTCTGAAGTGACAGCTGTTGCTGTTTTCTTGTAGTGCCACGTCTGTTTCAGTTCTATCCCTAGTAGCATCTTTGCTACCAGTGTTTGGACTCCTGTTTTAAAAATACCGTTTTGGTGCTTTCTGTATTAAGCCACTGCTGTGGTCCGTCAGCAGCATGCTAGTTTTCACCTCAAGCCTCCTTAATTTGCGGCCTTTTAACTTGCAGTGTAGATGGGGGACGAGAAGGGGAGGGGGGCAGCAAGGTTGTGCACACACATCGTCCTGTTAGAGCTGCGTCTGACCGAAGGGGACCATATCTTTCTGCTGTGCAAGTCTGGAGGTGCCCAAGTCACCGTCCTTCATGTGATGGCACTTCCTGCTGCGGGCAGAGGAGCTTCACCCCTAGAAGGTGTATTTGATAATTAAAATCCCAGAGCAGCCACTTGCCCTTGCGGAGTTTTGCAGTCTGTACCTCTCGGTAGCTGTGTCCCAGTGAGCTGCTCTGCTCAGAGGAGCACTGCCGTACGCAGGATTGATCGCCTTGTCCAGAAAGTCTCCGTCGCTTGTAAAGGTCCATGGCGTCCGTCTGGCGTGTAACCTGCTCTTGCCTCTCCTGGGAAGACGCTATCACCGAAATGTGGCTGACGTGTTCGGCCGACGAGCCCTGCCCACGTGCAAGCAAAGCAACCTTGGAGACAAATCACAATTACGGTTTTGTGCCTTTTGGCCTTCGGCGTTCCTCGGCACGCTGACTCGGCCGTCAGCAACTGGCACGCGGCTCCAGGGAAAGTCGTTCCTAAAAGTCCTTCTGCAATCGGCTGGTCTGGAACGGATCTCAAACGCTCTGCTCGTGAGGGGCTGCTGGCCCGCCATCGATAGTTCTCACTTCCTGGGCATGCAGGCTGTCTTTCCACCAGAGCTGCCCCGTGAGACCGAACCCCAGGAAAAACCGAAGTGCAGTAAAGGAGAAGTAGTCGAGTTAGTTGTAGCTCAGGTTCGGGAGTTCTCGGTGCGGCTGCCAGGGACCTTCGGCCGTGCTTTACCTGCCGAGCAGGATGTCGCGGGGCAGGAGCTGAAGCCTACGTGCTTGTGCAGGTGTTTACACCTTGGTGCAGCCGGGACGACTGTCTCACAAAGTACAGACCCCAGGAGTGGGTGGTAATACGTGAGGTGGTCAGAGGGCCCCTGCAAACAAAAAATTGGACTGGTTGAGACAGCTTTGAAAGGTGCGAGGAATGCTGGCTTCGAAATCCTGAATGGGTATGTTTGTGGCAGTCTTTCTTGCATCAAGCACTGAGCAGCCCCTGCAGGACGTAGTATTCTTGTGTTCATTGCATTTCTAAAAGAGGAAACACAGGACCACGTAGCAAAACAGAAGGGTTAGACTTCTGCCTGCGGTTAGTTGCAACAAGTTTGATACAGAGATCAAGGAAAATTCCACTTGCAGACAGACTTTTTTCTCTCGCTTGTAGAGGCTAACAGGGTTTTTCTGTTTTGCTTCTGTTCTTTTTAATCTTATCTGTTGTCACAGAAATTCTCTTTCAGAAGAATCTTTTTCACGAATTCCTAAACGCTTGTAGGAGTAGAGCTGTCAGATGGGCTTCCTGGAGACGTAGTTCCTAGCGCAGGGTGACTGTGCAAAGCTGAAGCCTCTTCATCCCCCCGCAACTAACTGTATTGCTCAAAGTGACGCCGCTGGTGGATGACAACAATGGATGAAGACCGAAGAATCGACAGAACTGCAAAGGTACGTCTGGCTTTTTGAGTACAGCGTATAAGCAATTAAGTAAAAAGGGTCCGAGAGTAGGGTTTGGTGTTTGAATTCAGCCTGATGCTTGGTGATGTTGGAAGCGTTTGGTATTCTCACCTCGAGGTGGACGAAGGGCTCTTTGCGATGCTCGTGCACCTCCTGTCCCCCGGCGCGTCTTCCTGTGACAAAACTATTAACTGGAAGAAGCGTCTTCTTGGGGAGGACTGTGAATAAAGCAGGATTCCCAAATAGCAAATGCCTGTGAATATGTATTTATTATTTCACAAATGTGTTTAATTTCAAGGTTCCACCTGTACTGCTCCCTGTAGTAACATCTGAGACGTGGTTATGTTGTCAGAGACTGGCGGTGGCAGTCCAGGTGACCTGTTGCATGATAGATAATTTCCCTGCATTACACACAAAAGAAGACATTTTTTATAGAAGTACTGTATTTGTTTCTTTTGAAATTCTGGAACTACTTTATACAGTTTTTTACATTTATTTGTGTATTCGTATTGCATCTAGTATAATTTTCTATATATGCATAGATAAAATAACCTGCTGCAGCTGTAAGGGTTAGAGAATGCTGAAGTCTTGATTCAAAGTCAGCGCCTTCATTGTCCTACCGTCTGCAAGCCGAGCATGCAGTGTCATGGAAGTATTATTTTCATCCTGGATTACGATCTCAGTGTTTACTGTAAATAAACTGCCTCCTGGAAACTTGATACAAAATATGGTGGGGGAAAAAGCGCCGTACTAGCTCGATGAGTCATTTTTTGGTACTCAGAATTTTCCATTGAGGCGTGTAAAGATAAGAGGACTATTTTTCACGTTAAGTCGTCAGAAATTGATGCAGGACATTTTCAATTTCTACACAGAGAAGAGAGTTTCTATTTCTAGGTACAATATTTTCAGTTTTCTTAAATGATTGCCAACGGCTCAGTAAATGCGATGGCAGCAAGCTGATCTCTTCTGCTGTGAGCTCTTTACGCACAGCCATAGCACACCCAGTCACCTTCGGCTGAGTAACAACCGAAAGGCAAATTTATTTCTCCTGTATCATTTACGAACTGTTCGTAATGTTCCTACCACCCCGGCAGTACTCTTCGTTATATTATTTGAATGTTATACTTAATACGAAGGTACTGAGGATGTGGGTTCTGTACTGCCTGGACTTCTTGAAGCACCGCGTGCCAACCGTCCGTAGCCCTGAAGTGACAGGCAGCCTTTGCGGAAAACGGCTCCCGAGAAGGAATTCAGCCCAGGAGCGCAGCCAGGGAAGTGATGTTACATCTTTCTTCTTGCATATGCACCTGTGACATCATCTGCACAGGAAACGTTGCGCCTCTCAGCACGACGCGCTGCGCTTGGGAAATAGTTCCCGTACTGCGTGACGACGTTTTCCGTGCGGTTGCCGAAGGAAAAATAGGAGGGTTTTAAAACAGGCGTTAAGCTGACCTGAAGTTTGTCTCTCCTTCCAAAACGCCCAGCTCACGTATCCCCGCCTGGCCCACAAACACGCGCGTGAGGAACGACGTGAGATTTGTTTCCGCGGGCTCCGCTGCGGACGCGTGCCCCTACAGCCCCGGCTGCCGCCCCCCAGGCTCCATCTCAGACCCCCGGGAGCAAAGACGTGCTTCAAAATGGGATTTGCCAGAGCTAATACGTTGAGCCAGGAGTTGCCAGAGCTAATACGTTGAGGCAGGAGTTAGTTGGACAGCCACGGGGAAGCACTGGGGAGAGGGGTGCAGTCTCTCTTTTCCTGGCCTCGCACAAGAAATTTGGGGCTCCTGGGGGGAGCGGCCGGGTGGAAGGGGGCTCGGTGCCCAGCCTTCCTGGGGAAGCCTGAGAGGTAAAACTTAGTGCTGTCATGGGCAAAACAGTCAGACCCAGGGAATTTTCAGCTCATTTAATTTATGGCACCTTTGCACAAGCTTCTAATCACCGATTCGAGTGATTGAGAAAGAATAAACCATGAACAACCGAGTGCTGAAGCAAGCACCTTTCCTCCCCTCCTCAGCCTCAACTTGCCTTGGTTTTGGGGGGACAGGGGGGTGCGCTCAGTCTGCCCCAGTCCCGTCAAGGAGGTGAGGTGGCGCGGGGCGGGGCGGGGGGAAGGCCCCCCTGGCTGCCGCTGCTGCTCCCGTTATCGCCCCAGTTCTTCCACCCCTCCGTCCTGCCCCATTTGACTGTATGGGAAAGGTGGTGTGTGGCTTTGGTGCTTCTATTTCTGGATTATTTCAGACGCTGGGAGTACCTGAAAAATTCCAGGGTAGTAAGTGAACGGTGGGAAGGAGCAGGGAAGGGGAAGGGATTCAGATGAGCTGCTTTGTGCCAGGAATTCTCTCTCAGGCGGACAGCTGCGTTAGCTGCTTGTCTGCTCCTAGTCCCAGCCCAGAGGTGTAGATTTTGTTGAGAAAACATTTTCAATTCACTTTCTATCTAAGATGCACGGCTTTTCTAGTTACATGACTGTGGGTTTGGGAGTGAGCGTCTTAATTTCATCTTGAAGCTACAGTGGAAAGAGGAAGGAAAAGGCTTTTGCCAGAGAAAACGCAGCGTGTACAAAGGCAAAACCAGTAAAAATTTGCAAACCCCAAGATATTCACAAGTACAAAGCTGTAAGACGTCTGCGTTTGTATAAGCATAATCTGGGCAGAGCTATTGCTCAGCAAATAGCAACTATGAGTAATTTTAAATAACATTATTTAATAATATTGAAAATTTTTTATTTTAATAATCAAGGAAACAAAGCCTTTCGGCTGCAGTTAATGTTTAGCTTTCCTCCCCAGGTTTTCTGACTCTGAGGAGTGAGATTGTTTTGCAGGGATTTCTAGAACTACAAAGGAGATCTGTTCAGTTTTCTGGAGACCTGCATATGAATATTTCAAAGAACATCAAACCACTTTTAAGTACCTAAAAAAAAAAAAAAAAAAAAAAAA